GTCTTCTGACTACTGAAAGCCCCCACTGTGGTACCCCATTCAGGTTTCCCTTTTTATCCCTCTTTTTTCTCTCATGTTCTATGCCAGTGCTGTCCAGTAGAAAAAGAACATGAGCCACATATGTAATTTTAATTTTCATAGTAGCCAAATTAAAAAGTAAAAAAAAAAAAAAACCCACTTAAAATTAATTTCATTTAGTTTAACCCAATATATCTAAAATACTATCATTTCAACATTTCATCAGTATAAAAAATTACAGAACATTTTACATGCTTATTTTGTATTAGGTCTTTAACATCAGTATATATTTTATTTCTCAGTTTGGATTAGCTACATTTCAAGTATTCAATAGCCATGTGTAGCTGTAGCTACCTTATTAGACAGTACAGCTCTAAGCCATCCTTCTGTTAACACACAAGTTTAGGGAGAAGGTATTTGGAAAGAGCACTAGGCTGTGAACACGTAGACCTAGGATTAGTTTTAGCTCTGTTTTTAACATGCTGTGACCTTGGTCTATTTACTTCATTTCTCTGGCCCCAGTTTAAAAATTACATAATCTTGTGTTTAATCAATATGAGAGTATGAATGGCTACTGATAGCATCTTCAGTGTTTCTCATCCTGGTAGAAACAAGTTCCAGGTAGGATAGAAGTATTTTGGAGGGTAGTTGGGTGGGGCAGGAATGGGGACCAGAGAAGGTTTCCTTTAAATGACAAAATGGCCAAGTGGGTCAGCTACAGGTTAAGGGCAGTAGACAGATCTTCCATGATATTACTACATGAAGCATCAGGTTCATAGGCCTGATCTTTGTTTCTCAATAATGTTATCAAATATTGTAAAGGGGAAGGCACAATCCTGCCTAAAAAAATACCTTAGAAACTCAATGTCTTCCCAGGCTTCAAAATACCCTCAGTACTTGGACTGCTTTTGGAATTTTCCCTAACAGAAAATGGGGAAGGCCCAAACTTCTGAGTTCAACCTGATGATAGCTTAAAGGATCTTGACAATGAGGTCAGAGAAACTTTTGCACTGTTAGTTCTTCCTTTGCACCCTCTCCAGGCAACTGACCCCAGAAATTCATGATCTAGGAATTACGACCTTACTGTTGATGTCTCATTACTAGACACAGAGCGCAATGACTGTATATATCATTAAATTTTTGTCAAATCAATTTTCTCTAAGTTTTAACTTCAACACTAAATCCTGAGTGGATTTATATGTATTTAGTCTTCACAAACTCATATAGTATGGTCTTCTGCTCAAAAATTAAAAAAAACAAGATGTAACACTGCTCTCAAGTCATTCTTTTATGAAAGAAGAATATTTTTGAACTTCAAATAACATATAGTGTAGCCATTCTGAAAAATCTGCTTATCTTAACAGGACTCCTCAAAGCAGGACACCTCCATGCTCAGTCTTGTGTTTTAGCACATATTAAAGAGTTAGACATCACAGTGTGCTTTTGGAACTATGGGCTTCCTAGATACGGCCACAGTTTGGTAAGAGTAGTCTTTTAAAACAAAACTTGTGCTACCAGTAATATCATTTAGTTAATATACATTAGCCTTTAAGGATGGACTAGCTACTTTTAACTATTTTGATTACTTTTATTTAAACTTACCAGCAATTGAACACTATCTTTCCCCAAAAGATGCAGAATCTTGTAAATACTTGCAAAGATTAAGGGGTAAGTATAACCCCTCAATCTTTCTGTCCATTCCCAGGTCAAAGAACCATAATTAGTAATATTAAGGACTAATGTTGAATAGCACTGAAACAAAACCTGTTCTCACTTCCATGTATAAAACTAAACAAGGAAGCTTAAAAAGACTGCATTTCATACTGGATATTTGAATTAAAAATGCAACTGGTGAACTAAACTCTCAACTTCTTCAAGGAAAGAATGTGTTTTCTACTTCATCTATATTCTCTATAGTATTGAACACTGTGGGAATATATGCTAGTTAAAGACAAGAACATTAACCTCAAAGAAAAGATAATGAAATACTAGCATAAAATAATGCATGGCATGCTTTGATAAGTTAAAAATATTTAGAAAAAAATAAAGGAAAAATGTATAATCTGTAATAAAAACTGACACAATTACTAAAATGAAATTTTAGTAAAATTTAGTCTGGAAAAGAAACTCCAAAGGATATTTGAAAACCATGTGATGCGCAACTTCAAGAGACTGCCAGTATTCATCTGGAACAAAACTTGTCTGGACTAAAAAGCAGTTAGATATTCGTAATGTTATGGTAAACAACACCAGATAAATGTTTTCACCGAGAAGAGCTGAAAAACAAAACAAAATAGGTAATTGTGGCACAAAAGTCAGGCAAGTTACATGTGGAAAACTGAAATCTGCTACTCTTTTTTGCCCCTTGGTCTGCTAAGGCACAGTGGTTAACTCTGGCCTCTCCACAGTACCCTCAAAGCAGACTTAGGACGAAAGCTATATGAGGGCCAGAGTCACCTGTGGGTGATTATCACTCCTTTTATTTAACCAATGTTTCTTGCACCTTAACTATATAAAAAGAATATCAAGATAAATACTGAATAAATTATTGGGTTAACTAAGACCCTAGGCTAATTAAGTTTCCTATTATATGTGTATCTAATGAAAGAAATGAGCTTAGAAATTACTAACTCAGGAACAACTCTGTATATGTGCCAAACAGTGACATATAAAATGGTGCTTCGCACATTTTTAAATAGCCCTTATTGATGCTCACTATATGCAGAGCACTGAGATCATTCTTTCAAATGCATTATCTCATTTAATCCTCAAAACTTGCCTCCGCTAAGGGGTAAGTATTATTAGCTCCATTTTACATGTGAGGAAACAGACGTGAAGGTAAATTACCTTGGCCAAAGTCAAAAAGGGCATAAATGACTAAGCAGGATTCAAAACCAGGTCTGTCTGCTGACTCCAAAGCCCTGCTCTTAACCACAAATGGGCAGCCTGTCAGCTGAATGGAGTATTTTTTTTAAAATGTGAATTTAGTTGCCAACATTTAAAAATCAGATTTTATATTAAAATATGTATTGAAACATTTCAAAACAAAGGTCTGGCAACACAGAGATCAATCAGCAACTGGCTGGTACTGAAATATAGGCTGCTTTGGCTTTGTTTAGCCTTGCTTTTCCAGCCTCCTGAGGGTTTGAGTTTGCAGCTTGCCTCTGGTCCACTGAGCCTTTGCCATCATTCTGGGTTCTCGCCACTCTTCCTCGTTCTCCAGGATTAAATGTTCCTCAGACAACGGGTACGTTTAACACAACATATATGCTCCATTTGACTGTGTATCTTTCAGAAACATTTAAAGAAACCTCCAGAATAAACTATTTGCTGTAAGAAGCCTTGTTATCCGCCCCCACCCCCAGAAAAAGCACACACACTTTACTGTGGCAGAAGAAACATTACTCAGTTGTGAATTTAGACTGCTTATTTGGAGTTGTTCTTGTTTCTTGAGGTAGGCCTGTATTGCTGTGTACGTCCTTAGAACTGTCTTTGTGACATACCACAAATTTTTGACTGTTGAATTTTTGTTTTCATTTGTTTCCATGTATTGCTTGATTTCTGTTTTAATATGTTCATTGATGCATTGGTTATTTAGAAACATGCTATTTAGCCTCCATGTGTTTGTGGGGACTTTTGTTTCCTTCATGTGATTTATTTATGATTTCATACCATTGTGGCCTGAGAAGTTGCTTGATATAATTTCAATCTTTTTAAACTTACTGAGGCTCTTTTTGTGGCTAGTATGTGATCTATTCTGGAGAGTTCCATGTGCACTGGAGAAAAATGTGTATCCTGCTGCTTTTGGGTAGAATGTTCTGTAGAGAACTGTTAAATTCATCTTATCTAATGCACTGTTCACTGCCTCTGTTTCTTTATTTTCAAGAAGCAGTACTCAGAATGGGCCCTTGAACAACTAATCTTGAACACTTTGAAATTCAACTAAATGTGACAAGTTTACCCTCCTTACTGTCCTTTGCCCAGACCAGATCCAAATTCTAACAAGCAGTGCCTTAGGGCATGGAAGCGGGAGCGCTCTCTCGCCTCTCCTTTCCCGCGTTACAATCCTCCCTCTTCATTTAGCAAAAACGATTCTCCTTCGTGTTTTCAGGTATCCAGAGGGGATCCAGGCATTCTTTCCTACCGCTTACTCTGTGTTGGCACATAAAAGGTGAGCAATATTTAATGAATGAGTGAGGAGCCCATCTTTATATTAAATACCCTCGCCAACAGATCAAAATCCCACTTGATGGAGTGCTTTTCTCCTGTCAACATCACATCAGGACCAAAGAGAAGGCAGAGCGGGCAGGGGGAAATAAGCGGGGTGGCAGTCAGACTTGGTCCCACGGCAGCCCCTCTGCAGCCAGGACGCCCTGAATAAGTCCGCGCCTGGGTGTCCCCTCTCTAAACTGGGGGTGGCCACGTCAAGCCGGTTTCACACGGCCGCGGGGAGAACGGCCTAAAATAACATGGAAAAAAGCACCCTGAGAGCCGCAAGGGTGAGAATCCCCTCTGGAGTGCAGGGCGATTTCTAGGCAGCCCGCCCAGCAGATGGAGCCCGAGCTCAGAGTCTGCGGACTGCTCCTCTCGGTTCGGCTGCGGTCCCCCCTCCCCCACTCACCACCGCGGCGCCCGGTGCTCCTCGCGGGGCTCAGGTACAAAGCCGACTTTCTCTTTCGCAGCTTCATCTTCTCGTGCGAGCGGTTCTGAAGACCGCGAAAAAAGAGTCTGCCGCCGCTTCCCTCTCGCTCCATCTGCTTTTGCTTCGAGGTCCGCTGGGGACCCCCGGCCGCCCCAGTCCGAGACCGAAAGAAGGAGGTTGAAGTCGCACACGCTGCTCTTCCGCTCACGAAGTTTGGCCGCTGCGGTCCGCCGTCGCACGCAGACGCTGAGGTGGTCGGGAAGGCGCCGCTGGCTCACGCCCGTCCCGGCGGGCCCTGCGCGGAGTGCTGTCGTCCGCTCCCGCTGCCTGGCCGCGGGCTCGCCCGCGCTTCTCTGCGGTATCTTCGCGGGGTTGCCGCCCGCCTTTGGCTTCGTGGTCTCCGCCTCCGGGACCCGGAAACTCGGCTGGAGGCGCCGGAGCTCACCTCTGCCCCGACGGGACGGAGCCGAGCGGCCGCAGGTGTCCGAGCGGCGGTGATAGTGATGACAAGTGTAATTGTAAACGTGAGTGTTTACACACGTTTCCCTTTTTGGGTGACCGCACAGTAACTGTTGAACGAGGTAGGGAGGGAGGGATGGTTTATCCTATGGTACAGATGTGGATAATTGTCTCCAAAAAGTTTAATGACTTGGTCACTGTCACTTAGTGGCAGAAGGAGAACCGTCCCATTTCCTCTTGGGTTAATTATTTTCCAAGGACTTGCAAATAGATCCTTTTTTAAAAAAAAAAACACTTAGAAGAAGTGTTTAAAAGAAGTTGAAACAACCCATGTTTAGTAAAGTTGTCAATTATCTAGTTAACCTTAGAGTTGAGGAGAAAACGGGCTTTTCTTTCCCGGATTGGTTTAGATTACATTTTAGCGATGCTAAGAACTAGTGTCTCTAGGATCAGTTCTGCCACTAATGCTGTTTGTGACCTCGGGGACTGGTATCGGAGGCGGTAAAATATTATAATAACGAAAACATGTAAATCCTTCACTCTGCTTGCTCATTCATAAACAACTGACTGCCTACTTCCTACAGAGACTAAGGTGTTGGCACGGACTGTAACTTACCGAAAAGAAGAGTTGTAACTCCTTTTCTGTTGAAAGTAAAACCAGCCAAATTTCTGTTATATTTTTGTCAAAAATGGGTGGTAGATGATATATTCGATAGCTGCTTGTACCTACCAAAGTATCAAAGGGAAATCAAAGTCATTTAGCCTGTTTAAAAAAACAATGTTTTTTTAAAAAACTGTTTTTAATCATACATATTGCTAAAAATAAAAAATAAAACCAAACATGAAATAGTCAAGAAGAGCTAATAATGAAAAGTAAATCTCTTTTGCCTACTTCCAGATCAGATTGGCAATCATGTTCAGCTTCTTGGGGAACTGTTTCTTTTAGTAGCTCTGAAGAAATGCCCCTCCCCCCCCTTACTGTTTTTTTAAATTATACATTTAAAATCGTTGAGAACATTCTATAATAGGATTTAGCTTTGTATTACACCATCCCTTAACCCTTTTTCACCATACTCATTATATATTTGTATCTTATTTTAGTTAATAAGCGATATTTACACATTATGATAAAAAAATACCGTTCACTCAGGAACAAAGTGACATGAAATCTTTTTAAAGAATACTGCCCTAAGTTACTGCTTTGCTTCCCATTTTCTCTGTACACAGATCTGAAGAGGTTTCCCGGATGTGGAGCATAGTTTTTTCAAAACCACATTTGTACAGTGCAGCACTTGTTGAAAAATGTTTGGAAGATTGACTCTTCCGCAGCTGCTTTTTGCTAGCATTCTTGGAATTGCTGGAGGAATATACATTTATCAACCAATATTTGAACAGTTTTCCAAAGATCAGAAGGAATTAAAAGAAAAGTTGAAATTGGCACAAGAATCAGAAGAGAAGAAAAGTTAATACTATGTAGAGTTGAACTGTAATTGCTTAAAGTTCCACTGAAATTGTACACTAACTACAAATAATCTTAAAAAAAAAAACACTTAGAAGAAGTGTTTAAAAGAAGTTGAAACAACCCATGTTTAGTAAAGTTGTCAATTATCTAGTTAACCTTAGAGTTGAGGAGAAAACGGGCTTTTCTTTCCCGGATTGGTTTAGATTACATTTTAGCGATGCTAAGAACTAGTGTCTCTAGGATCAGTTCTGCCACTAATGCTGTTTGTGACCTCGGGGACTGGTATCGGAGGCGGTAAAATATTATAATAACGAAAACATGTAAATCCTTCACTCTGCTTGCTCATTCATAAACAACTGACTGCCTACTTCCTACAGAGACTAAGGTGTTGGCACGGACTGTAACTTACCGAAAAGAAGAGTTGTAACTCCTTTTCTGTTGAAAGTAAAACCAGCCAAATTTCTGTTATATTTTTGTCAAAAATGGGTGGTAGATGATATATTCGATAGCTGCTTGTACCTACCAAAGTATCAAAGGGAAATCAAAGTCATTTAGCCTGTTTAAAAAAACAATGTTTTTTTAAAAAACTGTTTTTAATCATACATATTGCTAAAAATAAAAAATAAAACCAAACATGAAATAGTCAAGAAGAGCTAATAATGAAAAGTAAATCTCTTTTGCCTACTTCCAGATCAGATTGGCAATCATGTTCAGCTTCTTGGGGAACTGTTTCTTTTAGTAGCTCTGAAGAAATGCCCCTCCCCCCCCTTACTGTTTTTTTAAATTATGCATTTAAAATCGTTGAGAACATTCTATAATAGGATTTAGCTTTGTATTACACCATCCCTTAACCCTTTTTCACCATACTCATTATATATTTGTATCTTATTTTAGTTAATAAGCGATATTTACACATTATGATAAAAAAATACCGTTCACTCAGGAACAAAGTGACATGAAATCTTTTTAAAGAATACTGCCCTAAGTTACTGCTTTGCTTCCCATTTTCTCTGTACACAGATCTGAAGAGGTTTCCCGGATGTGGAGCATAGTTTTTTCAAAACCACATTTGTACAGTGCAGCACTTGTTGAAAAATGTTTGGAAGATTGACTCTTCCGCAGCTGCTTTTTGCTAGCATTCTTGGAATTGCTGGAGGAATATACATTTATCAACCAATATTTGAACAGTTTTCCAAAGATCAGAAGGAATTAAAAGAAAAGTTGAAATTGGCACAAGAATCAGAAGAGAAGAAAAGTTAATACTATGTAGAGTTGAACTGTAATTGCTTAAAGTTCCACTGAAATTGTACACTAACTACAAATAATCTAGTAAAAACTTTTCAAATGTATTTTATATGTAAATAAATCATTTTAAAACTAGCATGTCAGTTTTATTGTTTACTGTACTTTTGCCATTTTATATCTTCACTAGGACAGATTAGTAATTTCCTTTTTTTTAGCAAAAAAAATTACAAAGATTAGTTACTTAGATTTAGATTAGTCATTTCTTAGCAAAGATGAATGTCTTAAGGAGTGTTTTGTTTCCTAGTTGCAGTTTATTTTTCTGGGACTGCAGCATATACAGTGTCATGGAATGATAGTCTAGACTGTGTTTATAAAATAGCTGGGAATGGTGTTTACACTAGTTTGCGGATGAAGTGAACCAAATTGACCACCTCAGGCAGAATGCCCCTCAAGTAACCTACAATTAGCCTAGTTTAATATATGTCACCAGCCCTCCAACCCCACCCCTTTCTCATCCCAGGCAGAATGGAGGGGAAATTGAGAATTGGGGTGGTTCAGATCAAATTGCGGTTTTAGAGAATTAGATGGTATTATTTAGAGGAGCAAACAAGACACAGATCTTTGTTTAGCCCACTAAGCAACTTTGCATTAATAATGATGGTAAGGGAAGAGTGGATTTATTATAAAGCTGTTATTCATATAGTTAAAGGGTTTTTGCAGTTGCTAGGAATTGATAATTATTTGCTACTCTAATTGTCTTAAGCTTGTATTTTCATTAACTATAACTATAATCACATACATGCAAAATGCTATATTTAAATCAAGTTATTTTTATTATTGATATATTCCTTGAAAAGTAAATTCATTATAACCTAATCTATCTATGTTGAATGGAGACCAGCATGGGTAATTTTTTTTTAATCAAAAAATTAGAGAAATAGTATATGTTCATGAACAAAGTGAAAAGTGAGAAATTATATATTGCTTTAATCATCACCTTCAACAGTTTAGTGTGAACTTTCACACTTGTTTTCTCCTATGTGCATAAATACATATATAAATAAATTTTAATTTATATACCAAGATTTACTGTGTGACAGGCTTGGCTTAGATTGGCTACAGGTAGTCTGGGGTCTATTCTGTGGTTCTTGTGGGAATCCAGACTCAAGAAGCAGGCCTATCTGGGTTATGACAGATTATATAATTGAGGGAAAAACTGAGAGGAAACATGGAATTTTAACCTTCTGTTTAATTGTGGCAAATGTCACATCTTCTCATATTCTTTTAGAGTATGTTACATTGTCAAGCCCAACATTAAGGGCAGGGACAAAGGTTTCTCCCACAGGATTCACAGTCAAGTCACATGACAATGAGCAGGACAACATTATCCTAGAAATAATAACTTTATCCAAGGAAAAATGTTATCTAACATGAAGTTAAACTAAACTGCTTTTGATCTTTGTTTTGAGAAGGATACTGGATCAATTGTAGTAGTTGCATACCAAGTGTCAAAGCATGAGTTGATTTTTTTTCCCAATAAAGATACTGCAGGCATTCAAATCAAAGCAACAAAGAGATACCACCTCACATATTGGGATGGCTACAATCAAAAGGATGGAAAATAACATGTTGGCAAGATGTAGAGAAACTGGAACGCTTGTATGCTCCTTGTAGGAATATAAAACAGTGGAGCTGCTGTGGAATAGTTTGGCAGTTCCTCAAAAAGTTAAACTGTTAACATATGACCCAGCAATTACACTTCCAGGCATATACCCCAGAAAAGTGAAAATATGTCCACAAAAAGTGGAAATAACCAAAATATCTATCAGCTGATGAGTGGCTAAATTGCAGTATAGCCACACAATGGAATATTACTCAGCCATAAGAAGGAATGAAATACTGATACATGCTAAAGCATGAATAAACTTTGAAAATATGGAAGAAGCTGAGCATTAAAGGCTACATATAAATGATTCCATTTATATGACAAATGTGTGCAGAACAGGCAAATTCATGGAGACAAAGTAGATAAAGAGCTTCCAGGGACGGGGTGAGGAGGGATGGGGAGTGACTGCAAATGGATATAGGGTCTCTTTTTAGAACTAGATAGTGGTAATCAATGACAACCTTGTGATTGTATTAATGTCAGTAAATTATACACTTTAAAACTGAACATTGTACATGAATATTTTAATAAAGCATCCAGAACAGCAGCTGTACTTCAGATAGCCCATTGTTTTCTGCCATGATTCATCTTGTGTGTGTGTAGTAAACTACACATAACATAAAATTGACTATTTTTACCATTTTTTGTGTACAATTCAGTTGTAGTAAGTACTTTCTCATTGTTGCATAACCATCATTACCATCCATCTCCAGAACTACTTCCATCTAATTTTTGTGAGACCGAGAAAGGTAAATTGAATGGGAATACAGACCACCCCCTAAGCCTGCCCCAACCCACACACTATATCCATCAAGTCTTTGAAGGTGGTATTAATATCTGCAATTCTTTGTATGACTTCCTTCTGATTTACTTTCCTAGGAAAGAAGATTCAGAGGCTTCAGTTGGTTCTTTCTACAAGGACTTGGTAAGGGTTGAATGTACTCCCTCCCCACCTTCATCCATAAATTGAAGCCTTAATCCCATGGAATGGTATTTGGCGGTGAGAGATCTTTGGGAGGTAATTAGGTCATGAGGGTGCAGCCCTCATGAGTGGGATTAGTGTCTTTATAAAGGCAAGGGATAATCTCTCTGCCTCGTGAGGATACAGCAAGAAGGTGGCTGCCTACAAGCCAGGAAAAGGGCCTATTCACCATAACAAAATCTGCCAGCACCTGAAGGACGTGACAGCTTTCAAAACTGGAAAAGGGCACTAGAAATCAAGATCTGGGTCCTAAATGTGTTGACAACTACTGCTATAATTGCTTCTAGGACCTTGTAGAAGATAGTACTGGAAAATGCATGCATATCTATATTTAATTCTATTTCTATATATTAAAACTGATACCTCCAATTTCAACTCTATTAGTAAATGTTAGACTGCATGTTTCAAGCAACAGCCTCAGGGTGGGAAGCAAGAGGTATACTCCACCCAATTTCATGACTGGAGTAAGAAGGGTAGAGAGGATTTTGGATTGGTGCACAAGATGTATTCAATCTACCTAGTTCCTGTAATAATTTTTCCTCCTTGTTTACCTATCTCTCTGGGCATTATTTTCTCAGACTCCTTCAGCCCAGTGATCCTCTAGGGTCTGTACTAATAAGACCCCTCTTGCTCTCTCAGTACACTTTCTTGACTCTCGATCTTTGAATCACCTTTGGGGAATAGCTCCAGTATATGTCTTCTGTGCTTCAGATCAACCTGTTCAACTGCACACCAAACTGCTCACTTGGATGTGCTGCTGGGGCTGGTGTGTCAACGTTGACATGTCCTAAACTTGTTCATTACAGCCTATTTCATCATCCCTCCCTGTTGCAACAGGGCTTTCTTCCTTTTGCTCAGTGGTTTCATGTGGCCCAAACCAGAAACCTGGACATCTGCGGATTCCTCCCTCTCCTTTACCACTTAAAACCAAGCTGCCGCGAGTCACTCTCCTAGATACCTCAAACCTCTCCATCTTCATCCTTATGGTCACTGCCGTAAGCCACACCACTGTTCTCTCTCACTTGGATTTCAGCATGCAAAATGTCTTCTCAAACCCAGTCTTAGCCTTATAGCCATTAAGAAAATGGGTTCTAAATTCTAATCCTGACACTTATTAGCTCCATGATCTTGGCTATGTTGCTTAATTGCTTTAAGGCTCAGTTTCCTTAGTTGTAATATGGGGACAAGAATGGTACTTATTTCATAGGGCAATTGTGAGAAGTGAATGAGGTGATATATGCAAAGTTCTTAGCATATTGGCTGATATGTAGTAAATGGTCAATAAATGTTAACATTATCATTGTAATCATTCCAGGATTCTTCATAGTCCAGCCTCTCCTATTTCTCCAGTTTCTTATCTGGTTCTTTCCTTCTCCTCAGGTTTTCATCTTTTCTGAACTTCTTTCAGTTGCTCTCGTATCTCATGCTCTCTTTTGCCTCCAGGTCTTTCTTCTGCTTTCTTCCTAGAATTCTCTTCTCCCACAACCTCCTGCTTTATTCATTCTTCTTAATTTATGCGTCATTTTCTCTGGGAAGTCTTTATTTGGAATAGAACTTGCTTATTTCTATTCCAATAACACTGTTTAGCTTCTCTTGTCAGGGATCTTATCTGTGCCCTGGAGTGAACCCTTGGTGCTTCAGGCTCTCTGAGGGCCGGGACTAACTGAAGGTGTTCACCACGGCATCTCCCTACTCACTGAATGAATGAAGTGGGTGATGAATGAAATGGCCACAGAACCGCTGTCTGCTTTCTGATTTCCTGCCTGGTAAACTGGTAAATATTTGTCTGGGTATATTAGCTTGCATGTATATTCAATATCTGCCATTTTCATATGGTGCACCCTTATATGTGACCTTGTAAATTGAACACATACCCAGGAAGCTAACTGTACCGTAATGCAAACTGTGAGTGGCTACAGGTTGGAGGGATAATGGGTTAGAGAGGTGGGTCTGGGACAGATGATATTTGTGGTGAAGCTTGACACACCCGTGAGATGGAACAGCTGGTAAGAGAAGCTGGATTATGGCTTCCAATCATTTTGCTGTGCTTATTAGTGGAATTATTTTGTTCAGAGGTGATTAGCCTGAAAGCCCACGAGGGCAAGCCCAAAGGCTGCTGTTCATACCCCAGGCCACTGGAGGAGGAATGTGGCTACCTCTGAGGGGGAACGCGGCGTCCTGAACCTGCTTCACAGCCGGTTGCCCGACGGCCCCACACGTACCCGTCAGCGCTGAGAGGAGGAAGTCGCTGGGGGGCAGCAAAGGCTCGCAGATTTTCCTTATTCTTCCACGTAGGGTATCGTTTTTCCTGTTTTGTTTTTTATTTAAAGTGAATTGCTCTAACACTGTGAAATTTAACTTAGGGTGATTTTATAATCGTAACTAGACGTACTAGCAGAGACTCCGACTGTCATTTCCCCCCAGAAATATATTTATCTTTTTTTTCCTGCAGGAATTTCACTGTCCCCACCACCCCTGTCATTTACATGAATCCCAGAGCTTTCTGTAGTCCCGGGACAGCCAGGCCCAGGCCGACCCGAGGGAGGAGCTGGCGGGGCGGGCTGGACTTTGGCAGAGCCGGACGCCAGGCTCGGATCCGGCCCCCGGGGTTCGGACCTGGGGGCACCGCGAGTAGCAGCCTCCTGGCTTCAGGGACCCCGGGGGGGGGGGGGAGGGCAGACTTTGCAGCTGCTCAACACCTCTGGCTACTAGGATGCAGACACGGATCAGATGTCCTGGAAAACACTGAGCAAGTCAGCAAACCCCCTACAGCGGACCGGTCGTGGAGCAGTTGTGAATGTCAGCCGTGTCTCAAAACGAAAATAACCCCCTAAGTTTCGCACCTACCAGAAAGGGCAGTGGGGTCTGATTGGAGCCCAGTGAGACGAGAGGGGCCCTAGCGAGGCTCACAAGCGGACCCCCGGCAGGTGCGGCGGGACCGGGAGCGGCGTGCGAGGAGGCGCCGGCAAAGCGCCCTCACCCAGCGGGGCGGGGTGCTCCCGGAGGTGACAGGAGGAAGCGGGGGGGTGGAGGGTAGGGAGGAGGTCCCGCCCCCACTTCGCTCTCCTTTACGGGAAGTGATGTGGGGCCAGACGGAAAATACCCGCCAAGGACCCAGAAAGGGCTGCCAGCGGTGGACGCGGCGCGCGTGGAGACCAACAGCGCGGGGACAGCCGGGGCGCGCCAGGTGAGCGGGGTCGCGGCCGGCGGTCGGGGAGGCGCGCCGCTCAGGTTCCGCGGCATCCCCGGGGCCTGCGCAGGGCAGCTGGCGGGTGGCGGGGCTGGGGCTGGAGGCTGCGGCTCCTTCTCCCCCTGCCTCTGGGCGTCTGAGCTCGCCAGAAAAGTTTTGCGGCTCCCAGGCCCTCCGCACAGAGCCCACGAGGACAACCGCCGGGGCTGGGGGTGCGCTCGGGCGAGGTGCTGATGAGGTGCAGTCCCAGCTTGGGCGGGGGTCTGCGGTCGCCTCCGGTGCCACCCCGGGGCGAGGGTCCGCATCAGAGGGGAAGGAAACGTCACTGGCAGGAGGGGAGGAAGTTCCCAGGCCTTTGGCACCGTCCCCCGTTCTCTCCTTTCTATCGTTCTCAGTTTAAGTATTTAACGTGTTTACATCCTTGCTAGTAAGGGTCTGGAAGGCGAACTGGCGAGGTGGGGGGAGGATTCTGCCTTTTCTTGTTAGTCCGACAGAAAATCCTACATGGCAGCCGGGGCCTCGGGTCTTGATTGTTGGCAGGGCTGATGTGGAGACAGGTGTCAGTCACTATTGCCAAAGCCTCCTCTCTGTCCCAGCAGGTGACCAATTAAGCAAAGTTAGGTCTGAAGTGAAGGAGACCTTGTGAGATCTTAACCTTGCCTTTCCATGGCTGCTGCTGGCCACTTGGGCCACATGGCCTCAGAATTTGCTGCGTCGGAGTCTGGTACTTACCGGTGGGCTAACAGCTGCTTTTTCCTACTAGATGGATTCTCACTTTATCGTTGGCTCATCAGTCATATGTTGGAAGAAGGGGAGTAGTGTTACAACGTATACGTTTCTGTAATTATTGCTGATTTAATTTGTTGATGCTCCACTGTCCCTGCTCCTTTCTTTTCTTTTCTTTTCTTTTTTTTAAAGCCTTCTTAAAACTTGCTTTAAGGGGAAAAACAGTCTGGAGAACGGGGTTTCTGCAGATGGTTCGAAATGAGGAAAGGTTAATAAAATGCTGAAAGATTTGAACTCAACTGAAGATTATTCTTTTCTGTATTTTATGTTGGTTTTCATTCCTATTTTCTTCCTTTCCTTCTTTCTCCCTCCTTCCCTTCCTTAATTTCCATGGCCTGCCTTGATTTTAATTTTGATGAAGTATAATTCATTTGTTTTTTTGTTGTTGTTGCTTGTGCTTTTGGTGTCAAATCTAACAAAGCATTGCAAAATCCAAAGTGACGAAGACTCATGCCTAGGTTTCCTTCTAAGAGTTTTATAGATTTAACTCTTAGATTTCAAGCCTGACTCCCAACTATAGACTCCCAATTCTACTCCACTGATCTATATGTATATCCTTATACTGTTTTATTTCAATGGCTCTGTAGTAAGTTTTGAGATTGGGCAGTGTCAGTCTTGCCACTTTGTTCCTTTTTGAGATTGTTCTGGCTATCCTAGGTCCCTTGAATTTTCATATAATGAAATTTAGGATCAGCTTCTCAATTTCTGTTGTCTTGCTTTTAGAATAGATGTAAGAGTATTGAATTGGGCAACAATCCCTAGTAACCATACTCTTGATTTCCCCCTCCCAAATCTGTTTTTCCCCAGTCTTCCTCCTCTCAGTTAATGGCAATTTCACACTTCCAGATGATCAGACCAAACACTCTGGAGCGACCCCTGATTATCTTCTTTTTCTCATTCCCACATCTACTCCTGCGGTATATCTCACTAGGTCTACTTTGAGAATATAACTAGTATAATAACTATTTTTCACCATTTCCACCAGTTCCTATCATTTTTGTCACCTGGATTATGCAAAAGGCTCTTACAGGGCCACCTTAATACCATCCTATCACTCTATAGTCTATTATCAACACAGCAGCCAGAGTCAGTTATATCACTCACTCCTCTGCTCAAAACTCTCAAGTGGCTTTTTTATCTCAGAAGAAAAAGTCCTCATGGTGGCCTGCAAGCCCCTTCCTTGGTGTGTGGCTTCATCTTCTATCACTATCCCCTTTGCTTATTTCACTTTAGACATACCTCAGGGCCTTTGCACTTGCCGTTTCCTCTGCTTGGAATGCTTCCTTTAGATGCCTGCATGGCTTTCTCACTTATTTCATTCAGGTCAAAAGTCATTTCTTTAGAGAGGCCTTCTTACACCATCCCCTCTAAAATAGCATCCCTCACCCGACCCATTTTCAGCCCTCTAACTTAGGCTTATTTTTTCTTTAGAGTATCTATAGAACTAACTGTCACATTTCTCTCTCTCTCTCTCTCTCTCACACACACACACACACACACACACGCATGCACGCACATGCACTATTTTGTCTCCCACAGGTAGAATATACTCCACAAAGGTCAGGAATTTTTCTTATTCATTATGGTGTGCCTAGAAACCGGAATGGTTTCTGGTGCATAATAATCCCTAAAATATATGTGTTGAATGAATGAAACGGGAATGAGAGGCTGAGAAATGGTGATCATTGGGCTGCTTCTTTCTCCCTATTCATTCCCACTTTATCTAAGAGAAACAATGTCCACAGTTACACTAACATCTGTGTGTCTCCACTTCTGTCCTCCTTTTCACCCAAGATAATGGTCATAACCCTCTTTGGAAAGGGAAAGGTCAAATAAGTAGAAAGGTGAGGACTCTGAAGAGTTCTCTTCTCTGTAGCCTGGTGGCACTGCATGGGGCATTCAGCACCTGTCTCCAGTGATTTGGCCTTATGTGCTGATCTAGGGAGAGAGTGAAATTCCTCAGAACTTAAAGAAAATGGAAATTCATTTTTTGATGAATGTTTTGCACTACAGTAAATTAATCTTTCTCTGGCTTCTAACTGAAATTGCAACTCTGAGACTCATTTTGGCATTTAATTATAATTATCTTATAATAATAAAACTTCTTTAGAACATCAACTGTTGATGTGTGTGTTGTCTTACTTCCATGACTAGATTTGTAGTAACTTGAAGGCAGAGCATGACCACAACTCATTTTTGAGTCATATACTGCAGGGTATCTTAGACAACAGACATGTTCAATGAACTCTTGCCGAATATACCAGTAAGTTAATGAATAAACCTGGATTTATTTTCCTAATTGGAAAATTCTAGTCCAATTAAACTTTCTTAGACAATAGCTGCAAATATCTTATTTCAGTCCACCTCATCCCTCTGCTGCTAACAGAGCAGAATTGGCTGCTCTGCTAATTAAGCGTGGTTTTCTGTTGCCCTTTCTCAGTGAGAGTTAAATTAGTTGGCTTAGGGAGTATGGTAACTACTCTTTTATGTTATTTTAAAAATCGAATCTGCCTTCTCCTGTTATTTAAACTTATCTTGGAACGTGCCCTATATATATCTTCGCTGCAAAATATGAAAAGGATTATTTTTACATATATATAGGATTGATACATAATTTTTCCCTAATAAATTATGATAAGTCTGAAACTTCCTGAAAACCCAAACAGGACTTGCATGTGTAAGTGTGAGCCTCTCACTAACTAGGTAGGGGAATCCTTTCACAAGGATCACATGTATTTCCTTTGATCATGATTTATACTTTAAATATCTTATCAAATTTATACCTAATAAGGCTGACATAAAAAAAAGGTGTGAGTCCCTAAGAAGCAAGATTGTCTTGCCATCATTAAAACAGGGTTGCCTTCTGAAGAGAGTCAGTCTTTCATTTCAATGCCTTTGCTTTTTGTGCCTCATGTGGTATTTGCTTGAACCATATATATTCCTCTGCCCCTGGTGAGGAAGTTTTGAGTTTATGATCTGGTTTCTCTTAAGCTGATTACCTTGGAAGCAGATGTGAACACTGGGTTGGAGGAAGAGATAAAGGGTTCGTAATTAACTTTACACTCGTGGGGTGAGCCGAGTGGGACAGCGAGCATCCCATCAGCTCTGGTCTCCCGTCTGGTCATACAGCACAGAGGGCACGCCACATTCTTTCTTTTGTATGACTGAGGCTTACTGACACTCATATTTTATTTACTGTTGAATAAACTTAATGCCTGCCTTACTCCAGGGGAAAGTTGAAAGGTATTCCAGTTATACATTCCGGCTTCATTTTTGCCTCCTATGTGACTCTTGAGAAGGCTTCCCATTTAGTGCTTTGGCCACTCTCAGAATCACCCACATGTATGGAATCAGACTTTCAATTCTTCAAATTAAAACTTTTAATGTGGGCTCCAAGGTAGGGTGCCAGAATTAGCAAATACCAAAAAATGTTGCCTTTTAGATGAACAGTGAATATTATTTACTGTCAGTATGCAGTACATATACTGAAAAATGATTGTTGTTTTTATGAAATGGAAACTTAACTGGGTATCTTGTGTATAATCTGGTAACCTTAGTCTGATAAACCTGTGTTCATGCACAGGAAATGCATTGATCGTGATAAAGTCTGAAGCTTGACTGAGCTACGGCTCATTTTGGTGACTGCACATGTGTCCATATTAAGGATGGAGAAGATTTGTAAGCTCAAGGAGTAATAGAAATAGAAGGAAGTTGGAGAAAATTTGGCTTTACTCCAGTTTTTGTAGTCAGGGAAATTCACATGCTGAGACAGTTGTACGATTACACAGAGTTGGTGGCAGAACCAGAACTGGAACTCCAGGTCCAGTGGGCTGCAGGACATCTTCCCTTAAGAAAACATGTATAAGTTGCTTATGTTTTCTTGTCGACCCTAAATCCCTTCTGTTATCACCTTCCTGTGATCACTGCATTATCATGCTGTCCTCCAGTTACCAGGCCCAATGGTGGCAGGCCGAGCCATTCTCAGGAGACGTTTCTCTGACAGTCACATCCCTGTTGAAAGCCGTGTGGTTGGATTCCGGGGGATGATGCCTGAGAGCCTGTTGCTTGATGTGTTTTTATTCCTTTTGAGGTCTTGTTAATATTTTTGTCCCTTTTGAGTTTTTATTATAAGACACTTTGATTACAATGAGCTTACTGAGAGTAATTTCACAGCAACCAAGTACTGTCCTATGGAAAGCCCACTGACTTGG